CTGTGGCCACCCGGCTGTCCCACCCTTCACTTTTCCCTTTCCTTATTCCTGTTCACCTCTTGAGGCCCCCAGAATCCCAAGCCTGTGTCTACTACTAGGCAAGTCAGCACTTTCTCCTAGCTCCCCAGTTTCCTCATCTGCAAAATGAGGAGTCCTAGTCACCTGACAAGGCTACCAAGGGAACTTAATGAAACTAGATGCATTACTCCCAAGTAAAATATAGAGGTGCCCAACAGATGTAAATCCAGACCCTTTAACTTGTTGGTTGTCACATTATATGCATTGGAGTAAAGCATGTATAAATTAGAGTTTTCAAGCTGAAATTACTAGGCTTTTTTCCTCTTACAGTATCCCCACCCCTAAAAACATCATATTTACCAAAAAAAAAAGAAAAAACAGTAGAATCAGCACTTTAAAAGAAGGCAGAGCCCTAGTAGCCCTGTCTGAAACATTGCTGGAGACTGGGTTCAAATCTTGTCTCATTCACTTAGTATCCATGTGACCTTGAAAAAGCTACTTAACCTCTCTGGGCTTTGAGTTCTTCATCTGTAAAATAGGAATAATAACAGTACCTATCTCAAGGCTGTGAGGACTGAATCAGCTTGTTTTTGAAAAGTCCTTAGGACTGGGCTTGGTATAGAAACTGCCTAAAAGGTGTTAGCTGTCATTCTTATGTATATTCAGCTCAGAGTTTACTCCTGCACAAGTGAGGGAGGTTCTCCCTGGCATGGAGATAGTGCTGGGGTGTTAGTTTGACTGCAGCCCCTCAGGTGGGTCTGCTCACGAAGTGAGGATAAATAGGTGTATTCAGACCCTGACTGCTGCCTTGCTGTTGCTTTTGTTGTAGCCATGACTCCCTTTGTCCTTAACTCTCACCTTTGGGAGAGGGCAAGGTGAGACAGGGGCAAATGCTCCAATGGACTTCACTTATGGCCCTGGGAAAGCTGGGCTAGCCCTTGAGGCCATGTCAAAGGCAGGAGGTCTTGTGTCCAACTCTGGAACTGGATGGGACCATGCACAGGGTAATTAGACAACAAAATTGGGGCACTATAAGGAAGAACCAAGGGGATCTGCTTCCTGAGAGCAGCTAGAACACTTGGTCATTATGACCTTCACAGCTCTAGGACCTGGCCCACTTCCACAAATTTGTCAGCATTCCCAGGCTTCTGACACCAGACCCCTTGCTCAGATCACATGGTTTGTCTGCCAGGGCTGCCACAGTTGGGCATGCATTTCGCACACTGTACAAACCTGTCCAGCTGAGGGACTGAGAGAACTTGAAAGGCAGTCCACACCGTGCTCTCCAAGCTGTGAATCCCAGAGCATGGATCTGCCTGGCGGGGGTGGGGGTGGGGGATCCCTGGGGTAGTTCAGCAGCGCCTCAGACACCTGGACTTAATGAGCACCTGTCCAGACTGGACTGAGTTCCCCCTGCACTGCAGAGTGCTCCCTTCTCTGGGCTTCTTCCCAGCCTTGATAGTACCTCGCCTCCCCACTTACCAGCCTATAGGCCCTGGGGCTGGCTGGGAGCCCAGAGGGGAATGCTGGTGACTAAACAAGCTCACCCCTGACTATGGCTCAAGGTGGTTTCCTGCCTCATCCCCAGGGGCTCATTAGGTGTTCCTCGCACATGCCCATCCTTGGCTGGCCTGTGGAGACCAGGGACACTGGGCCCGGGGCCATAGTATTCTCATAGACCTTCCAGGGACAGGCATGGTACTACAGGCTACATCTCCCTTTCCTGGTACCCACTCTCCTCTACTAAATGCACTCTAGCCCCTTGGGTGCTCCAGTTCATAGATGCCCAGGGACAGTGGGCTGTGTCTGTAATTTAAAACAAAATCCCTTGCAGTGGAGCATCAGTTTGCCCTGCACCAGAGTCCTTCATACAGAACCCTCATTACTGTGGTAAGCAACACATTTCCTGGGCTCTCAGGATGGGGGGGCTCACTAGTGGTCCACCCAGTGGTCAGTATTGGGAGGAGTATTGGGGGACAGTCACTGGGGAAGTCTAGGGTCAGCCAGTCTCTGTGGAAGGAATACTCCAGAGAAACATGTGGAACATGGGCTCTTTTGCATAGAAACTGCCACACAGAACTCCAGGAGCAGGAGAGGTGCTGAGTGGACAACTTCCCCTAATGTAAGAGCTGCAGGCCTAGTGTCTCCCAGCTTGGCCATACAAGAAGAAAAAAAACAAGCTGCTCCCTGGCTCACCAAAGTCTTAAAGAGTCCCCTTATTTGGACAATTAAAGGGAGCTTTAATTTCCCCCTGTCCAGAAGCACCTGGGTAGAAAGTAGTAGACAGGTGTTTTGGAAGCAGATTGGACATAAATCTGTGTGTCTACAAGTAGCAGTCAACAAAACCCCACTGAGCAGAGAGAACTGGGCACTGGGTACGGATCAGCTGCCTGTACTCTGACCCTGGGGCAGGCACCAGGGTCACTGCTGCCCTGAGAAGCCCACGATGCTGGCCACTTGATGAGTGCTCTCCTGGCTGGTTACTGGCCTCTCTGACTGATGTGGCTTCTTCTCAACATAGGTGTGTCTCCAGCTCTGTCCTTTGGGCTGGCATCTCCATGGCTCTTCAGGGCTGAGTGGAGGGAGGGCTGACTGTGGGCACTAAGGGCCTGGTCTGGCAAACTAGCCTCCCACTCTTACCAACTGCACAACCTGGGGCAAGCTCCCAGGTTTCTCCAAGCATGTTTTCTTCACATTAGCAGAGTAGGAATAACAGCAGAATCCATCTCACAGGGTTCTGAGAGGTACATGAAATAATGTATGTAAAGTGGTTGGCATAGTGCCTGGCACATGCCGGGTCCCCAGCAAAAGGTAGCAGCCTCTGCTGTGCTGGAAGTTCCCTGCCAGCCTTGCATGGTGAAGTTATTTGTGTCAGTTTGGTATATACCATCTGAGTGCTGAGTATTCAGGCTTTCTGCTGGGTGCCAAGTCCCTGCCAGACCAGGGCTGCCCCGTCTGCAAGGAATGAGACAGTGCAGACCCCTCTACTGCCTCACAGTAGGAGACCAGGTGAGGCCTTGTGGAACTGATTGGAGCTCATTCCCAGGGGTCTTGCTTAACTTAGCCCAGTTTTCAGATGTTCCTGGTTCAGCCCTTTGAAAGTCCTCCTTTGGCTCGGCGCCTATAGCTCAACCGGCTAAGGTGCCAGCCACGTACACCTAAGGTGGCGGGCTCGAATCCCCAGCCCAGACCCGCCAAACAACAATGA